GCTCTTGCCCGTCCTGTATCTGAGAGAGAACGCCGCCGATGCTGCAGCTGCTGGCGTCGGTGTCAAGCACAAATGGGTCTGATTCGTTGGGGTACGCCAGGACTGGGGCTGATACCAACCGCTCCTTCAGCTCTTCGAAAGCACGTTGGCATTCGTTGGTCCACAGGAAGCGTTCATCCTTCTTGGTGAGACGATGAAGAGGTGCTGCGATTCGGGCGAACTCCTGCACAAATCGTTTGTAGTAGGTGCACAGCCCCAGGAAGCTGCGGAGCTGATTTTTGTCCTTTGGCACTGGCCAGTTTCGTACCGCAGTGGTTTTCTCCTCATCGGCGGAGATGCCGTCTGCCGATACAACATGACCGAGATACTTCACTCGCCGCTGGAACAGGTTGCACTTTTTCGGGTTTAGCTTTAGGCCGACCCTGCGGAATCTACCCAGGATTTCTTGTAAGTGACATAGCTGCTGCTTGAATGTTTTCCCCAGCACGATCACATCGTCCAGGTACACGAGAGATGCTTTCCACGTCAGACCATCCAGAACTCGCTCCATGAGTCTTTCAAATGTTGCCGGAGCGTTGCAGAGCCCAAACGGCATGACCCGGAACTGCATCAGGTTTCCCCCAGCAGAGAACGCAGTTTTTTCTTTGTCACTGTCAGCCATTTTCACCTGATGGTAACCTGACTTCAGGTCAAGCGTCGAGAACCACTGGCTCCCTGACAGTGCATCCAAAGTGTCATCTATTCTGGGTAGAGGGTAGGAGTCCTTCACCGTGACTTCGTTGAGAGCCCGATAGTCCACGCAGCATCGATGGCTACCATCCTTTTTCTTCACCATGACAATTGGAAATGACCAAGGACTCTTCGACGGTTCTATGACTCCCTGCTCTTTCATCTCTTCAATTATCTTGTGCGCTTCTTCAAGTTTCCCGAGGGAAATTTTTCTTGGTGGGCATTTGATTGGCCGCTGATCCCCTGTGTCGATGGTGTGTTCGGTGAGATTCGTGCATCCGAGATCCGTCGCATCCCTGGAGAAGACATCCGCATATTCAATGAGCAGGTTCTCCAGCTGTTCGCTCTCAGAGGCTGAAAGGAGCGAGCGACTTCGCTCAAACAGCTCACGCAGATGCTCTGGCAGGCTGCTCGCTTTGTGACTAGACGGTGCTGTCTGCTCGATCTCTTCCACTGTCTCACCAATGCCCAGAACCGTGCCTTGTGACAGGTGGACAGATTTGTCCAAAAGATTGGCAACCAATGCTGGCACACATTGTCTGCTACAGTCAACAAGTGTCTTCCCCACCATGAGTCCTTCGTCGAGTTCATCGCTTCTCTCGACAATGGCTGATGCCGTGAACACATCTCCCTCTTTTCGGCACTGCACGATAGCCTCCGACTTCGGGGGGATCCGGATGTCCCTCTGAACTGTTATCCTGAACGTCCGGACAGGCTGCTCATCTTGGTGCATACGCACTGGAACGTGCATGCCATCCAACACCATGCGCAGATTCGGTATATCAAGTTGACAGTGGTGGCTGTTAAGGAAATCCAGTCCCAGGATACACGGGTCTTCGATGTCAGCGATGTACACAGGGATCCGCACAAGTGCGCCTCCAACACCCAGTTCAGCTTCTGCTGGCCCTTTTAATGGGACACGATGGCCCGTCACCCCGCATAGTTCCACTTGCGATAGTGGAATGTCGATGTTACCAAAGACATCAGCTCTTACGATAGTTTTGTTTGAGCCTGTGTCGATTAACAACGGGTACGGCTTACCATTGATGGTCCCATCTGTGAAGAGTGATGCCACGTCGCACTGTCTCGTATTGGGTGAGGGCTTCACAGGACTTGGTTCCCGATCAGCTGACGAGCGCCCTTCATCGCCAACTGGTTCTAGTTTTCCGAGTTGTGTTCTGTCGTCCGGCCCCCAGATATCGACCTCGATGCCTGCTGCGACCGCGGAGCCCGGCAATCTCGGCGAAGATGACCCATTCTCCCGCAGTTCCAACAGGGTCCCGTCGGTCGCCGCTGGATGTTACCTGAACCCGTATGAGGGGGCGCAGGACTTCTCCTGCCTCCTGCTGACCGATTTTCCAGGCGCTCCAAGGTTGCCAGGATCCCTTGTTACACTGATGAGAGTGAAGTGTCTGTTGGTGTTGGTGATTCTGTGTCCGCCGATCGTGTCCTGAAACCAGAGGTCCCCTGCGCAACAGCTTCGGGTCTTCCAAATGAAGCCTTCATGGATTCCATTTCGATGGCGCATGCCAGAGCTTCTCCAAGAGAGCCCGGTCTGCTCTGTTTCACGGCAAGCTTCATCTCTGCGCTCTCCAGAGCGTCAATAAACTGGTCGCGGATCAGAATGTCCCTGAATTCGGGTGGTGCAGATGGGTAGGCGAGGTGTCCCAGTCTTTCAACATCGTGAGCTAGCTCAGGAAGTGACTCTCTTGGTTGCCTGCACTTTGAACGGAATTGGACTCGGAACGCTTCCTCTCGGTGCTCCACGCCGAAGCGCTGTCTAAGCGCGGCGGTGAGTTTGTTGAAATCACGGTATTGCTCTTCCGGAAGGTGACCCAGTATTTCCAGGGCAGGGTCCTCTCAGGCTGGCGGCCAGTTGCATGGCCTTTTCCGGATCAGTCCATCTGTTGTTGCATGCTATCGCTTCAAATTGAGCGCAGTATGCAGCCCAAGATACAGAGCCATCGAAGTTCTGGGGAGTGCGCCGATCCCCAGCTCGCGCATCATGTTCAGGAGCCCCTGTCGGTAGCTCATCGCACTGCCGAATATCATCAGAAGCTGCAGGTTGAGGGCCTCTCGGAGCTGCAAACCGCTGAACGCTGCTCGGTGCCGCAGCGTCACAAGGCTGCGCTGCATGCCTCTGATCCAGCACAATATCTGTGAGGCTCTGGAGCTGCTCCTCGATATGTTGTACCTGTGCTTCACATATCTTCTGTGTCCGCCGCTCGCACTCTTCCAGCTTCGTATGTAGCAATACAGCTATCTTTTCCCCAAGTTCATCTGAAATATGACTCTTCGACTTCTCCTTCTCTGCTTGGCTCCTTGTGATCCTCTTCTCGTCGTCCATGTCGTCGAACGGCATGTCGTCGAACGGACTTTGCGTAATCACTTATAAGGATGGAGGGCGGGAGGTGTGGGTATCGCAAAAATTCTGACACCAGTGTTACGAGACTGCCCCCAATTGTCCTAGTTTCTGCTATACAGAACCAGATCAGCCCCGAATCAGAGATTTCGTACACTGGTCGCTTTATATTCACTTAAGTGCGTAACGAGTGAGTTCAAGTATCTAACGACCAGTGCGGCAAGTATCAGATGACAATGTGACCATTTTAGTTCAAGTGCTAGCACACAACAATGACGGGTACAAGAGGAAGTGCTCGTGTCAATCAAGCACGGGGAAGGAAGAGGAAAGTCTGTGCTCGTAGCAATCAAGCACCGCGACAGGGGAGGGAAAGAATACCAGAGAGTCGCCCTGGCGCTGTTACCGAATCGTTGCCATCAATTCGGACCACAGGTAAGGAGCGGGGAGGCGACAGCGAGCTCACCTGGCAGAGTCCCGGTCTCAACTGACCGCTAGGCCAAAACGAGCCTCGGCCCGAGCTGAGGTCACGGGCACAGACCAATCAACGTGCAGCACGTACATCGCCGTGCGCATCCGCATGCGCACGCGCACGCGCACACGCACAGACAAAAACACCCATCACCGACAAAAGCACGGAAACGACGAGACTCGAACTCGCTTCACCATAGCATCTCACAATGCGAACCCGGCGCCTTAACCACTTGCGCCACCGTTCCGCGCTGCTACGGCACCATCGTGCCACGGCAAGCGGAGGGCACCGTAACAGTATGCATTGCAACTTCCTACACTCTTCAACTGTCCGTCAGGCATTATCACCAAGGTCCAGTGCAAGCAGCATCAGTGCAGAGTGGGTTCATCGGTCCTCCAGCCTTGCACAGCCACAACACCGCTCGGCGTCTCTCATATGTTCCGCACTGCGTCGGGAACAACAGCGGTGTGCACACGGCCCACGCGGCTGTCCCTTGCACTCTGCGTCGGCTGTCCTCTGCACTCTGCGCTAGAGCAGCTGTATCAATCACGGCGGGGCAGAGTATCTCAATAGGTCCAGTCGAGTGCGCGACGCCAACATCGAAGGATATTGGTCTGTTAGATAGTGGTTATATAAAACTTAACAAAAGAAAACTAAGAGCAACGGCTCCTTTGATATTACCATCTCCTAGCTGGTAACATATAAATTTGCTGCTTTATCTTTAGCGAGGACATGTCTCTATAGTCCATACCTAACCCATCGTGCATTCACAGAAGGTAAGACATCCGTTCATGTCGAACTCATCGTCATTATCCCTGTCCTGTAACCGGCTTCCATTACCATACTGGAGTGACTCGTGGGTTGCCGGTCCGTGGGGCCGCTGGAGCTCCCCCATGCCACTCCTTGTGGGCTGTCACAGCTCCAATTAGCGACAAGTAGGCGCACGTGGGCAGTCACAGCGCAAGGAAAACTCAGAAGACGGGGCTCTACTGCCGCCGCCCCGCACCTATATAGAGTGCACACAGCTGGCAGGTTGTATGGCTGTGTAAGGCGCTGGCCAACGGCACTAAAACTAATGAACGACATGACGAGGATGTAAAAATGGCCTGCATCGTTCGTGCGCGTTAGTCGGCGTGGTCTTAGGTTAACCTATCAATTCATGGCTTCAGTGACAGATCAATACAGTGCCAACTAGAGACGTCATTCAGTGCAGTACACCGAGAGTCAAGGTCCTCGGCCAGCGGTTGATCCCATAAATATAGACTGAACTCTTTTATACGTGGCGAAAGCATGTTGGTTCCTTGGGCCCTGGGATCCATGGGTCCGTGGGTCCGTGGGTCCGTGGGTCCGTGGGTCCGCGTGCCCGTGGCTCCCTGTGTCTGTGTGCCGGTGGGCCCGCGGATCCCTGGGTCCTGGGTCCGAGGTGCGGACGGGACTGACCTGTCGGCGCGGCGGTGACGGCGGCGGCCGGCGGCGGGCGCGCGGCCGCCTTCTCGCACTCTGTGCGGCTGTAGAAGGCGGTGGGGTTTCGGGAGACGTCGGGGCAGTCCTCCTCTTGTGTACACGTGCAGAATCCCAGTATCAGCTGGCAGATTTGGCAGCCGACAGCTGGCGCAGAAACACAGCAAATTAGACACCGACACGCTGAGTTATATGTACAGCCCTCTGCAAACTGCGTGGTAGGTATTCTTTCTTCGACAAAACCGAGAATAACGCGAATACTATGCTATCGGTCGCTCGGAAATCATAACAGGAAGATGCGCGAGACTCCGCACCTTAGATTGGCATTACCATCGCATTCATTTTCCATCCAGTTTGGCAACAACACCTAAAAGTTTATATTTGCCCCCAAAACAAATATTTGCAGTTTGTTGCCACACAAGGCATATACTTTGTTTAGTGATATACCCAATCGAAGGAGTAGAGCATGGCGCCTCTATTTTCAGTGAGTTCCGACCGACTGACAACATAGTCTTTGAGTTATTACTGGTTTTGTCGAAAAAAGAATACCTACCACGCAGTCTGCTGAGGACTGTACACCAACAGAGCGAGACACACGAATCACACACCAGCACGACACGAGTCACACACTGACACAAACACAGCGAGTTACACAAAAACAAACAGAGCGAGCTACACACAAACACAAACACAGCGAGTCACACACAAAAGCAACAAGTCGCGTAGCACAGCTGACTTCAAACATAGGGCAACAAACTATGCGACCACTTACAGTTGCACACAGAGACACATGAAGTGGCATAAGGAATCATACAGTAACACATCATCGGTTGGCGACAACGTTACTTGGACAGATAATAAACGGATCGTATTTGTGGTAGTCGTGTTCCAGTGTTTGTTTACATGTCAACACGTGGGAATATTGCAAAGACAAACGAGCAACAGGACCGATCAAATGATTTACTAGCATGTTGTTACTGTCAGTCTTTAAAATCCAGAGTGACTGTCAGGATTCTGGTATCAGCCAAGAAAAACTACGAGCCCTGGTAGCAATCCTGACTAATGAGAAAGTCCTGAAAATGTGGATTAATTAACAATGATAAATCGCGAAACATGCAAAATATAAAGTGTGTAATTATTAATTCCGGAGTGTTTTTCTCCACAGCTACCTAATTAGTTATATGCACATTGACATCGATTAGTGTTCAGATTACATAGTTCATTTCAGGGCATCCAAGCCATTATTGTCCAACTTTTTGAAAATTGCAAATGGTTTGATGAAGGAATGGTGTAATACGCATGATAATAGTGCTTTAATTTTAGCTTAAAAGTAGTGTAGATATTTATTCTGGTATGGCTAATTTACCTTCCTTTTGCATCAAATTTCATGTTATATTTATTTTTAAAATAGCCGACTTATCACTACTCGCATGCTTTTTTGGGTTGTTAAGTATGATATTTTGTGAAGAAAGTGCACCAAAGTTCCAAAAGGGCTTCATTATCTTCTCAGCCTGTGTTGACATGCCATCACCCACACAGTGTTCTTAGCCGTCCACTTTGTCCCGGGATGTCTCCCTCAAAGAGGCCCATCCGCTGCAGGACACCAGGAGCTGTATGGGAGCCGTGCTGTTTTTGCCGACCGGTCCGACAGGACGCGGGTAACAGCGTCACACCGCTGACACTAACACGTCGTCAGCTCATCACATGCGTTACCGAGACTCGGTTCAGCCCGTGCTAGAGACAATGGCGGCTCGGGAGGACGGCCGACCCGCTGTGGCCGTCGGTGCTCTGTTCTGAGGGATGTGTTTGACCAAGTGGGAAATCGTTTGAAAATGGGAAGCGAAGCGCAGTAGATGATTCTGACAAGCCAATGGCAATCATGAGGCGACCTGACAGGCGGCAACTCCCGTAAATCCAAGTGAGTGCTGAAGGATAATCGTCAGCGCCAGAAAAATGGAGTGGTTATCTGCCACTCTTCCAACGACAGTCGTGCTAGGAGAGTCGTGCTGTCTTCTGCTTTATGATCCCCGCTTTCACGATCACTCCATTGGATGGAACTTGATCCCTCCTAATAGAAGTGAGAAACCGATTGGTAGATGGAAATACAGTACAGCTCAAGACCTGTTATAATTTCATATGCTGAATTTAACTTGTACCACCTGGCTCTCGTATGAAGCATGAACTAGCTTTAGTCTGTCAGGTAAATACCAGCTTAGAGAGGTAAAACTGTTGCGGGGCTTTCCCCCATTCGTCCCATTGATCTGTCACTGATTAGGTCAGCTGACGGACAACAGCTGTAGCATGTCGACAAGCACGACATAAATGGCGCGCCGCAGACAAACTGGCGCTGCAACGGAGGCACATCTCGAGTGCAGCCGTCGTTGACAGGTGCGTTGTGCAGTTCGTACGTCGTGGTGTCGACAGGGGCCGCCGGCCGGCCCGCGTCAGAACCGCCCCGCAACCGCCCGAGGATGAGGTCGGTGTGCGTTCGTCTGTGTGTGTGTGTGTCAGTCTGTGTCAGTTCGTGGCCCATCTGGATCCGTGTGTGTGTGTCGGAATGTGTCCGCCTGTGTGTCCGTCTATGTATCCCTCTGTGTGTCCGTCTATTTGTCCGTCTGTCGGTCTCCGTGCCCTTCTGCATGTCCCTCTGTGTGTCCGTCTGTGTGTCTGTCGGTGTCCGTCTATGTATCCGTCTGTGTCCGTCTGTGTGTCTATGTCACCGAGCCGCTCCATTCACAGAACTCTCAGAGCGGCGGCTGCTTAGTGACATCTGGAGAGCCGCGGTGCTCCGCGCTGGGAGCGTGGGCAGCTCGAGGTATGCAGAGCTGCACAGCGCCGCCGCTGCACAAGCTTGTACAGCGTGCACGACCACGAGCTGTGTTTGAACTCTATGGAGAGCGTCCCGACGTTCTACGAACAGCTTCTGCGATAAGATAACAGCTCCGATAACCACATACGGCTCGGATACTTCCGAACCTGGCAACAGCCGCCGTTGCAAACCTCCATATGTGGGGAGGTGTATAAATGACTTGGCGTCAATTTGGCAGTAGGATCCACCCGGGACACGCCTGCGATATATCTCTCCCGTACAGTCTGTCTTAAAAGTACCGCGCAAAGTGACGGTGGATCCAAAAGCCTGACCGAGAAAGGGCCTGTTTTAATTTAAAAGTCACCGACCAATTGACCTAGGGAATGGACAAGGATACCAATTGCTTCGGTGACCCAAATTTAGCAGGCCCTTGCTCAGTCAGGCTCGATGGATCCACCGTCACTTTGCGCGGTACTTTTAAGACAGACTGTACATCTTGTCTACCTCGTCTCAGGTTCCACGCCATACCTTTTGTCTCGTGTCCAGTCCATTCCCCATTGTTACGTGCCCTGACATTGCAGCGCTTCCTTCGTCCACCGTCCCCGACCCCTTCCCTGCGTCCCGCGTTCAGTATGGCACCTTCCAGAGTCCTGAATCATCAGACCACGGGGACCTTTGGGCCCGGAACCTCCCGCAGTGCTTGAACTACGTGGACCCCAAGAGACGCGCCAGTCGTCGCATTTTTCCGTTGTGAATCAAAATGATGACGACATGGGGCGTGTCGATTGGTGCTCAGGCGTTGACTCGGGGGACAAAGTCGGCCTCTGGGAGCTGTGATCGACCGGAGCAATGCCTGGAATGTAGGGATTGTCGACAGAGGTTACTGTGAATGAAATTGGTAGCAGGTAACAACTTAAGTGGGGCAGAGAAAAAGACGAATGCCGGTCCCGCAAATGGGCGGGACGGGACTGACATTCAACTGACTCTCGTCAAACCGCGGATTATTGATAAAATATGTGGCTGCAGCAGTATCCAAGGAGCGCTAAGTGTCGGGTTACTCGGCATTGAACCAGCCGACCGGTCACCGCCCGGGGCGCTGCCCGGCGGACATAGAACTCTGGTACAGCCTCCAATATGAACGTCCCTCAGCAACAGGAGATGTGGAAGCGCAACATTCCGCCCACGGAGGACATTAGCGGACAGCCGACAGCCCTAACTGATCAGAGGTCACGTGCACTTCAGTCGCTTATCAACAGATTGCCGGAGCGAGCTCCTCCGCCCTCGGCTTAGTACGTAAGCGTGGCAAACTCGCTGTGATCCCATCAAAGCATCATCGCAACGCAGTTTTGAAGCTCCATTTGGTCTCAACCCAGACGACAGATATTCTTACTTATCGAATCAAAGCATCACTGCAGCCAGTCGGATAGACTGCCCTATCAAATCAAAAACGGTTTTTAAACCCCACAAAAACACGCCATCAGCGGATGCGCCGTCGGATGTTCCGTTAAGTTACATCCATTCGACAGAGATAACTGTGTCCGCCAGCTGGCATGTACGGTGACCTTGAGTGTACCAATGACGTCACGGAAAGTATGTTTTGTTTACCTACCTGGCTGGCAATACAGCTCTGCCGGCCAGACAGCCGCCAGGTCGTCGGGCGGCCTCGAGCGACGCGCTGACGTCAGATGCCAACTTGGCCAGTTCGGGGTGGATCCCTTTCGGTCAGTCGGCGCCCACGGCCCCGCCCGGGCCAAGGCGGCCTGTTATTGTTGTTGTTTGGCGCTACAGAACCCACAGAGGCCGGCTCGGATGTCCAGAGGTCGTTAGTCTGTGTCGCGGTGCTGACGGCAGGGCAGATTTGTGGACTGTTGGCAGGAGGGGTTCTCCGCAGCAGGTACGGACTGCGCAGGTGCCCCCAGGTGACACGGTGTGATCCCATGGTGCTGGATCTGAGCCAGATTGCGTCACTCTGTCTCAGTTCCGGCAATGCCCACTTCATCACTGGGGTCCGACTGTAGCAGTCGGCGCTGGGTCACTACGTCCCACGAACGGATTGCACCACGCTTGAAAAATACTTAAGAATAGCCGATCATAGCTATCACGATCTCTTGATCAATAGAGTCGCAATGTTTTTCATTTGTTTAATTTCTTGATTATAAGTTGTCCAATGTCTATGCAAGTGTGGTGAAACAAAGCGTCCCGCAACGCAACGGACCATATCCCGTGCCAGTCGATAGCGAAATGGCGTGTTCCGGTGAGCCTCGATCATCTGGTGGGCTGCAGCTGGCGCTAGCAAAATAAACAATGGCCGTGACACTCAGCCTCCCAGGCTCAGATA